TCAGCAGTAGCAGCAAAAATCTAGACCAGTACATTCCCAATGAGAGCTACAGTTTCTCTGAGGGTCATGAGGTTTATGAGAGAAAAAGAGAGAGGGAAAAAAGCTTTTTTAAGGGAAAAACATTTTCATTAATGAAAGGAAGAAGCGTCAGCCAGTTCCAATGCCCAAAGAAAATCAGTAATTAAGTCAAACTAACTTCAGTAGCACAAAATCAGCTCTTAGGTTTTAATTCCAAAATTTTACATCCAGTTTTTAAACTTTTCAGAGACCAAGGATTACTTACAGCAAGGAGAATGAAGATGAAATTCAGTGGAGTTTAAGAATGTCCTTAGATAAGAATTTAAGTTCTGTACCCTTTAATTCTAATATGAATAAAATCACATCTATGAAGTAAAGTCCAGATCTCACTGAAGTTAGTAAGAGGCTTTCCAGCAATTTAGATGGGCAGTGGATCAGGTTCCCCTGTTATTACAGAGAGAAGAATATTAGAACAGTGAAAAAATATCTATAGAGTGTCCTTTCTTAAGAGAATCTTGTAGTTATAACAGTTGCCTGGTACAGTACCATTGGTACCAACAAGAAATATTCACAGGAATAAATGAAGTACAAATTCATTGCCACATATCATTAATCTTCTCTTCCCTTGCTCTTCAGAGTCTCATGTGCCCTCCATACTGAGATAGGGAGAGCAAGAGCACCTGATAAGCAAGTGCATACAAACATGTTCAGTGCTGGAGCATCAACAATTTATTTTACTGAGGCGCTGCCCAGAACAAACAGGTAAAAATCCTTACACGTTGTCTAACAAAAAACAGTATTTTTATCATATATATATATATGTGTATATATATATAAAAATCACAGTCTTCTGCACAGCAGAAGCTTATAACTAAAATATTTTAGGATTCAATTTTCTTAGATAGACATAACAAAATGCCTGCAAATATAATACAGTGAGCACATAACAATTCTTAGAATACAAAGAGTGAACATGGAATTATATATTTTATCCACATTCTACTTGTGACTGAAAACAAAACTCACTCGGAGTTTTTTAAAAGTCTCTCTTAAAAAGTTAATCCTTTCAATAAGATATGGTCAGTATATACTTAGTAAGAATACACTCTTCACATACATGGCAATAATTAACTGTAAATACAACAGACTAAATCCTGCCCTCTTCAGGCCTGGTAAGTAAGAGAGCCCAAAAGGAGCATAAAGCCTTCAGAGGCAGCCAGAATAGATTGAGACAGGCTGTCTGCGTTGAATCCACAACCTCAGATCCGCTGTACAGAGAAGTCGCATCTTGTCCAAAGAGACTATTTACATCAGGAGGAATTTCAGAAGCTCTGCTGCTGAGACTTCTTCCTATGTGCCAGTAGAATCTGCTGGATGCTTGACACAATTCTCAGCAAGCCAAGCCACTTAAGCGTGGGCTGAAACTCATCCCAGTTCACCAGGAGATGTAAGCATATTTGAGTCCCACTGAAGTCAAAGTGCACTGCTGAAGAAAATAATTTGGTGAGTCAACATGAGGGCTGCCTCCCAAGACAGCTCCCCTGAAGTGGTTACTTTCTGCCAGGGCAGAATTCAACCCTGTGTTTTCTAAATGAAATGTCCTTTTATATGTCTACACCATGATGTCAGCTTAGCGGCTATGCAGTTAGATACGATACCCATACCATACAATTTGCTACTGGAAACACATACAATTATATAGTCACAAGTGAAGTAACGGTGCAGTTACTTATGCAATTACATGTACAGTAGTAAAACTAACAATTGGATATACATTGTATCAATTTTCCAGAAATTACAGGGTAATTGGTGCCACCTATAACAACATATTTGTATAATACTTCCAGCCATACAACTAAATGCCTAAAGGAGAACAAGCGCTTTTCATAGATACTGATTATTTGTTCCCTTTCCCCACCAACATAAAGGAAAACGATGGTTCTACATACAGGCAGGAAACAAACTACTAAACTATTGGTGATGTTTTCCATATTACATACAAGATCATATCAATCTCTGCAATAATTTTATTACCCTGAAAGGAATTATACAAAGGATATAATTTTGTCCAAACCTAGGTAAGTTTTTATTAAAGATCTTAAGTCTCTGAAAAGACTATTAATGTATAACTTACTTTTCCCAGTATTAAGTCTCTCAGCCAGGTGCCAGATTCAACTATTCTTTTTCCTGCTGTAAATACAGAGTTACTTTCATGAAATAACTAGAATCAACTGAATTTTTAACACTTGTCTGTTGAGAAAGATTTGGGCATTTGATTGAAATTTCTTTTAATGGCCAAAGTCTGCCAGTAGCTAATCAGGATTAATTTTTCAAACTGTATGAAATACTCTCTTTAGCATTGTAAATTCACAGTTATTTCTGGGACTAACTTTAAACAAATGAGTAATAGTTTGCTAACCAATCCGCTTCTATGTCTCTTCTCTCATTCAAAATGGTTTCTGAGATATCTGTTAGGGGTTCACATACACACTGAAAGGACCAAGTGCAGAACTAGAGTCTATAAGCACGGTGTAAAAGGAAGTGATATTGACTTCTGTGAGAACTCTGCTTATGGCAGGCTTGTCAACGTCCATCAATAATGAAAATATTAATTTCTAAAGAGATTATTTTTTAATGAAATATTGAAATCTTTGACCTCTTATAAGCAGGGAAGAGAAATATGTTCATATATGCTGTCCTTGACATATGCATATATCTCTCAGTAGGTCTTTTGTCATATATGAAGAGAAATATATGGCTCATAGAAAGAGAAGAAGATTTCAGCAGTAGCAGCAAAAATCTAGACCAGTACATTCCCAATGAGAGCTACAGTTTCTCTGAGGGTCATGAGGTTTATGAGAGAAAAAGAGAGAGGGAAAAAAGCTTTTTTAAGGGAAAAACATTTTCATTAATGAAAGGAAGAAGCGTCAGCCAGTTCCAATGCCCAAAGAAAATCAGTAATTAAGTCAAACTAACTTCAGTAGCACAAAATCAGCTCTTAGGTTTTAATTCCAAAATTTTACATCCAGTTATTACACTTTTCAGAGACCAAGGATTACTTACAGCAAGGAGAATGAAGATGAAATTCAGTGGAGTTTAAGAATGTCCTTAGATAAGAATTTAAGTTCTGTACCCTTTAATTCTAATATGAATAAAATCACATCTATGAAGTAAAGTCCAGATCTCACTGAAGTTAGTAAGAGGCTTTCCAGCAATTTAGATGGGCAGTGGATCAGGTTCCCCTGTTATTACAGAGAGAAGAATATTAGAACAGTGAAAAAATATCTATAGAGTGTCCTTTCTTAAGAGAATCTTGTAGTTATAACAGTTGCCTGGTACAGTACCATTGGTACCAACAAGAAATATTCACAGGAATAAATGAAGTACAAATTCATTGCCACATATCATTAATCTTCTCTTCCCTTGCTCTTCAGAGTCTCATGTGCCCTCCATACTGAGATAGGGAGAGCAAGAGCACCTGATAAGCAAGTGCATACAAACATGTTAAGTTCTGGAGCATCAACAATTTATTTTACTGAGGCGCTGCCCAGAACAAACAGGTAAAAATCCTTACACGTTGTCTAACAAAAAACAGTATTTTTATCATATATATATATGTGTATATATATATAAAAATCACAGTCTTCTGCACAGCAGAAGCTTATAACTAAAATATTTTAGGATTCAATTTTCTTAGATAGACATAACAAAATGCCTGCAAATATAATACAGTGAGCACATAACAATTCTTAGAATACAAAGAGTGAACATGGAATTATATATTTTATCCACATTCTACTTGTGACTGAAAACAAAACTCACTCGGAGTTTTTTAAAAGTCTCTCTTAAAAAGTTAATCCTTTCAATAAGATATGGTCAGTATATACTTAGTAAGAATACACTCTTCACATACATGGCAATAATTAACTGTAAATACAACAGACTAAATCCTGCCCTCTTCAGGCCTGGTAAGTAAGAGAGCCCAAAAGGAGCATAAAGCCTTCAGAGGCAGCCAGAATAGATTGAGACAGGCTGTCTGCGTTGAATCCACAACCTCAGATCCGCTGTACAGAGAAGTCGCATCTTGTCCAAAGAGACTATTTACATCAGGAGGAATTTCAGAAGCTCTGCTGCTGAGACTTCTTCCTATGTGCCAGTAGAATCTGCTGGATGCTTGACACAATTCTCAGCAAGCCAAGCCACTTAAGCGTGGGCTGAAACTCATCCCAGTTCACCAGGAGATGTAAGCATATTTGAGTCCCACTGAAGTCAAAGTGCACTGCTGAAGAAAATAATTTGGTGAGTCAACATGAGGGCTGCCTCCCAAGACAGCTCCCCTGAAGTGGTTACTTTCTGCCAGGGCAGAATTCAACCCTGTGTTTTCTAAATGAAATGTCCTTTTATATGTCTACACCATGATGTCAGCTTAGCGGCTATGCAGTTAGATACGATACCCATACCATACAATTTGCTACTGGAAACACATACAATTATATAGTCACAAGTGAAGTAACGGTGCAGTTACTTATGCAATTACATGTACAGTAGTAAAACTAACAATTGGATATACATTGTATCAATTTTCCAGAAATTACAGGGTAATTGGTGCCACCTATAACAACATATTTGTATAATACTTCCAGCCATACAACTAAATGCCTAAAGGAGAACAAGCGCTTTTCATAGATACTGATTATTTGTTCCCTTTCCCCACCAACATAAAGGAAAACGATGGTTCTACATACAGGCAGGAAACAAACTACTAAACTATTGGTGATGTTTTCCATATTACATACAAGATCATATCAATCTCTGCAATAATTTTATTACCCTGAAAGGAATTATACAAAGGATATAATTTTGTCCAAACCTAGGTAAGTTTTTATTAAAGATCTTAAGTCTCTGAAAAGACTATTAATGTATAACTTACTTTTCCCAGTATTAAGTCTCTCAGCCAGGTGCCAGATTCAACTATTCTTTTTCCTGCTGTAAATACAGAGTTACTTTCATGAAATAACTAGAATCAACTGAATTTTTAACACTTGTCTGTTGAGAAAGATTTGGGCATTTGATTGAAATTTCTTTTAATGGCCAAAGTCTGCCAGTAGCTAATCAGGATTAATTTTTCAAACTGTATGAAATACTCTCTTTAGCATTGTAAATTCACAGTTATTTCTGGGACTAACTTTAAACAAATGAGTAATAGTTTGCTAACCAATCCGCTTCTATGTCTCTTCTCTCATTCAAAATGGTTTCTGAGATATCTGTTAGGGGTTCACATACACACTGAAAGGACCAAGTGCAGAACTAGAGTCTATAAGCACGGTGTAAAAGGAAGTGATATTGACTTCTGTGAGAACTCTGCTTATGGCAGGCTTGTCAACGTCCATCAATAATGAAAATATTAATTTCTAAAGAGATTATTTTTTAATGAAATATTGAAATCTTTGACCTCTTATAAGCAGGGAAGAGAAATATGTTCATATATGCTGTCCTTGACATATGCATATATCTCTCAGTAGGTCTTTTGTCATATATGAAGAGAAATATATGGCTCATAGAAAGAATAAGATGTGTTAAATAAAACTATAATTTGTTTCTCCTTCCAAGATATTCTGAAGAGCAGCATAAAAGAGGTCATATGATCTATTTCTACAAAACCATTTATCGTCCAGTAATAATATCTTTGCAAAATTGTTTACCCATTCAAGTATCTTCAGGAGATATGTCACCATACTTGCATATACTGTAAGTCACTCCAACATTTATAACACAACACTGATAGACAAAAACACTAAAAACACCCATAAATATTAAAAGAAGCTCTACAAACTTGACTATCAAGTAGTTAAAAAACTGTTGATCTTTACATTACACATTAATTCCATGTTGTCCAAAATCTTTCTTTGAATGGAAGTTGTTGAGTTTTTCAGGGTTTTCTGTAGGTCATCATAATCTTGTGTATCCACCGGGAGTAATATGAGACCCGAACAAAAATCCCAGGACGATTTCGAATGGCACATCCACGGCCAGGAACAATGACACCAACTACTATCTTCAGCCTGTTTTGTTCACAGACCAAGGGACCACCATAATCTCGCTAGGAAAAAATAAACATAAACAATGTCACTTCTCAAAATGCTTCAAGACACAGCTCCCACCTGTCTCCCTCTGACTGATTTCTTTTGGGGATGACCTAGCTCAATGAACAGGCAATAGAGTTATTCTTGCCATGGGACAAAAACCAGCTTCCAATATGGTTTTCACAACCAGAACTTATGCGAACCAATGTCAAGGTTGGCCTTTGACCTTTGGTTGCTTCCTATGGAAATTAAACTCTATGATCCATCTTTACATGCATTTACAAATTTCTTTACTGAAAGAGTGGTTAAACATTGGCACAGGCTGCCCAGGGAAGTGGTTGAGTCCCCATCCCTGGAAGTATTTAAAAGATGTGTAGATGAGGCGCTTAGGGGCATGGTTTAGTGGGCATGGTGGTGTTGGGTCGACGGTTGGACTTGATGATCTTAAAGGTCTTTTCCAACCTTAATGATTCTATTCTGTTCTATTCTATGTGACTCTAGTGACTTCAGACTACCAGATCTCACTGTCCTCTTCCAGCTACCTGCAAGCATAATATCTATTTATGTGCATGTAAACCAGATGAGCAGAAAGTGAGTCGACTGATAAACATCTTTGTTGTGATCACAGGCTTTGCATCAAAGACTACTGACAGAGCCAGTTTAATATCCTTCTGTCAGTCAATCATGTTGCAAGGCTCCAGGAGGAGAATCTAAGTGTACTAATGGGTGGGGGGTGTGGGAGAACATCTCAAACATAATAAAAGGTAATATTTTGTAGACATAATTTTGAGACATAACTTGTTAAAATACTCTTTTTCATTATTCTGAGTGAATGAGACATCTATGCACCAGCACATGCATTCAGTGAAAATTTGGAGTATGACCAACTCAGACTGGGGTCTTATTTAGCACTAAAATATATCCAGTTTAAATTAGATTGAAACAGTAATTTAGATATATTCACATAGATTTGGGACTTGAACATAGATACTGCAGTTTTTACCCAGGCAAACTCTATACTGAACCTAGCAAACTAGCTGCAAAACTAGACAGTAAATGTTCATATCAGATAGTGAGACATTGTTTCAAACAATAAAAGCTGACAATTAGCATTCTATTCTCTCCGGATCACCAGAGAAACAACAATGCTTGACCTTTGTTTGGTAGAGGGTTGATGCTTATAGAAGTGTTTGTGCCATTAAAGTTGGAGTTTGTTTTTTGGACCTTGAGTGCTATTTCACCTTAATCCACACCGAGGGGATTTGCGGATCTTAGTCACTCTCCCCTTCCCGCAGGTGGGGCGTGACACCTGCCAATCTGATTTTGTTTCTCTGCCTGTTCTCTGCTGAGGAAAGTAGCTTCAAAGGGGAACTCAGGGAGCAGGAAACCATACAGTGATTAAGACTGATTGCTAAAATTAATTCAGTCCATTTCTTCTTGTGGGGGAAAACAAAGTGCAGGATCCCCAGCAGACTTCCATGCAGATGTTTCATTTATAAGCCTTGACGTGTATAAGAGCTCATTTATGATTAAATATTTGCTTTTGAGGAAAATACTTTGCAATAACAAAATGATCCTTTGGAATATTAATAATAAATGGAAGAGGCCTCAGCCTGGTGAAGACCTCGTTTCCCTATGATTTGGTAGTACCCCTGAGTAGGGAAAATTTCACTGCTTGGTTAACATCAGTATTAGGAAATCATCTATTCTACTCCAGATATTAAATGCATAATAACATTCATGACTGCCCTCCTTCTAGACTTCATCTCATCAGGCAGATTTTCCACACAAAAAATATCTTCTTGTAATAAATGATTTACAGCACTTCTCCTCAGATATCTTTTCTCCATCATCAAAACTAGTCCCAAGCAAAACAACTGTATCAAACTATACTTTCACTGAAATTGTTCTCCTGTCCTCACTGATATGTTGCTCAGGCTTGATTACGGAGACCAAATGCTCCAGCCTTCTGACTGATACTGAACCTCAGTACATTTTTGAATCTTTCTCCTTCTTTCATAACTTTATCAACTCTGTTGAGCAGTGACTTTGTATTTTGCATGCAAGTCCTCATCTAAGTAACTAGTTAAATTTGTTCCAGCCTTTGCTTTCTACTCAATCAAAAAATACTGCTGTTTTTAGCACACAGTCCACTTTAGACCTTATTCTACAGAACACAAATTTATCTCAGTCTAGAAAAGTGTTTAGTTACACGAGTATATTTAACATTCATGTAAATCCTTTACTAGTGTGGCAGTACAGTGAAATTGAAGCAAAGGAACACCTTCCTGCACTTTGGCAGAAAATAGATCACTAGAAACACAAATCATTTTCCAATGCAAAAGATTAAAATAATTTTTTTGTGTACAAGTTTAATACAGAGAGATTAATTATAAAAAACTCTAGTCCATTATTTCTCGGAAAGAAATAGCCAGGTTGATGGCTCCTAAGAATGTATTACAAAATGCAGTATTTACCTCACAAGGCCCAGCGCCGACGGTTTCAGCCACAGCACAGATTTCTGACTCATTCACAGTGATCTTCCCTTTGAGATATTTGCATTTCTCCTCATTTCCCAAAATAAACAGGTTTGCTACCCGGAGAAGGCCATCATAGTTAATTACTAGGATTGAAAAGAAAATGAGAACTTTATTCTATTTTAGGGGTTAAAAAAAAGAAATGAAGATGCAGTCTGGATAAACTTATTCATGTCACTTCAGTTACTGTATTTTCTCCCCAGTACTCACATTTTTGTACAGCCTCACTGTTATCATGCATTTGTCTTTTGGATTTCTTATATTTGCTACAAATGAGATTTGCAAGAAATTTGTTTGGTGCGCATGTCTGTTCAGTTCTCTGAGAATATCTGGAGAAGTTTTTTGTATTAGAAGAAAATGCTAGGTAACTGGGTTTACTCTACAGTCCACCACCAGCTTGCCCTGTCACGTCACAGAAATCAGAAAAAGTGAGCCTCGGAATGTTGTCACTCCCATCAGTGGAGCGAGGATTTTGCTCCCTGCCTTAAACACCAGTTAATGTGTAACAGTGCCTGCCATGGCCTAGGGAAGGACGTGTGCTTGAAAAATACTGTAGCAGAGTAGAGTTTTTCTCGTTCTGTGCTGGCTTAGCTACACTGAATGACTGTGCCTGCAAGGGCAGAGCCACGGCTTTGTGCAATCTCCATTCATCAGTGTGAAGGTCAGGAAGCAGGAGCCCTGTGGAGCTTGCTCTTGTTCTACATGTCAAAAGACAAGCCTGTACAAGCTGCAAAGATAAATAAAGGGCCTGGACCTGCCTGTTCCCTGCACAGCCATCAAAAGAAAATGCCAAGCTTGCCCTTTACTGAATTGTTATCCTGCTTTCTTGAATACAAAAGTGGATGTAACACTTCTTCCTTCCCTGACTAGGATGCCGTGAGGATTATATTTAGTAGTGCATAAAATATAGCACAAAGTCCTTGGATGACAGATGTTATGTATTTACTGTATTACGTAGCTCCACAACATTGCAAATACCTTATCAAATCTCTTAAGCTAAGCTCTCCCCTGATGCTGCACCGTGCTCCAGCTTGACTTCCCTGTCCCCCAGACAGCCGTTTCCCCCAGAGGATGGCTAACATAGCCATGCTGGGAACATCAAAGGCAGTCATCTGGAAGAGGGCTGGTACAGATCATTGCCACCCACAAAGAAATGCGGAGTAATGGTTACAAGGAAGAGAGCCTCAGAATTACAGTCTAGTTTCTGCTCTGCTTCCAGGACAGCGTGAGTATGTTGCTGCTGCTTACTCAGGGTCTGTGGCAAAACGACATTTGAGCACAGTAATTATTGGACTAATTATTGTCAACTGGCAGCTATTAACTTTATCATCAACACATAATTAGACAGATATAGTATTTACCAGACTAAATAAATGTCTGTTCTCCCACATATTTGTATTTACTTCACACAAAAACTGCGTTTAATAAACATCAGTAAGGTTGCAAAGTCAAGTACTCAAAAGTTAGGAAATGCCAGACTTAGGGCTGCCTGTGCATCCTTAGTTCACTGTCTTTGTGTATGTTAATTATGCCTTTGATTACGTGATTCTGTATTAGTTTTTCCACAGGGCAGTTTGCTTTGGGATCCAGAAAGAGACTGCTCAAGTAGATGAATCGGAATTTTTCAAAAAAGGGTTAGAACTCTGCAAAACAATTCTGCCAGATTTTTTAAACATGTAGAACAATATTTTTCTCTAGTTTATTCTTTGAAATGTTTAAATCATTTTGCCTGTCACTGAAACAAAAACAAAAAAAAAGGATGGCTAGTAGAAAAAATTTCATATTGAATGTTCTTAGATAAAATGCTCAAAGATTTACAAAATTAGAAAAAAATTGAAACTGCATTTTATAACAAAAACTGTTGGACAACCGTGGCATCAGGCAATACCAGCAGCCTCACCTATAACGACAAGAGGAAGTAAGCTGTCAACGTATTCATTTAGTTTTTAAAAATAATTTCTTACATCCAGTGTATCCCCATCCATAAACACTGCAACTGGTCTTCTCTGGAATGGTACATCCAGAAATGGGCAATCGGATTATTTCTACAAAATTAAACTGTTGGACAACCGTGGCATCAGGCAATACCAGCAGCCTCACCTATAACGACAAGAGGAAGTAAGCTGTCAACGTATTCATTTAGTTTTTAAAAATAATTTCTTACATCCAGTGTATCCCCATCCATAAACACTGCAACTGGTCTTCTCTGGAATGGTACATCCAGAAATGGGCAATCGGATTATTTCTACAAAATTTGTCAATATGGCAGTTCTGAAAAGAGAAAACAAATAATAGGTATAATGGATTTTATTTAACCTTCTAAAATGTATCTTAAGAATGATGTTAAATCTATTACACATCACAGCAATTAAAAACTGTGCCAATTCTTTTCCTTTCTTTTCCATCTTTGAAGAATATGATGGATTCTCTTCTACCTATTTTTCGTGCTACAGCTGTTAACTGTCAAAAGATTTCTTGAAATGCTGTCACCATTTTTATGCTATTTAACTTGGGGTTTCATCTTAAAAGTAAGTAATGATGGCATTTCATTTGAATATATAGTTTTGCTAATATAGAGAAAGTTTGAAAGCTCATATATACACAAAGATCTCAGTTACAATCTGGTGCTTATTCTTTAAATTAAAACCATATACTAGTCAATGTGGGGTTTTGTTTTGTTTTTTTTTTAAAAAAAAAACCTCAACAAAAAAACCCTCCTAACAAACCTAAACTTGGGTTATCAGGAAAAAAAATGTAGGCATGATTTTTCAGAAGTAACATCTGTTTTCTGAGTAAGGTAGATGAACCTGCATTTCTGCATATATCAAGTAAAATTTCTTACAATTGGAAAGTTTACCCCATGGAGACATCATCTGCAGCATCAGAGATAGTAGAGAACTGAATTTTAAAATCTTATTTAGGAAGACTTTCATTCATCGTTTAAAAATCCTGGAATTGGCAATAATAGCTACTAACCTGCTAAGTTTCAGTAAGACCAAATCTGACCCTGCAGGGCCATATACCAACTGGGAGATATTCAGAATTTGTCTATGCTTTTCCTCTCCCTTTCCTTTGATATTATGGACTCCAAGCCAGGCTTTGTAGTCTTTCAAATCTTTGTACCTAAATGAGGCAAAGTTGGTTAGGATTTTGCTGAGTGTATAATAAAATAACTCAAAAAACTCTGCTTAATATGATTATGCTAGAAGATCTTAACTAATACTCTTCACCAGAAATGGGTTTATGCAGCCAACTGCTATTCCAAAGTCAACATGCTCAGATGTAAGTTTTTGGTCTGAAGCCACTACATAATTTTATCTTTAACTGTTACTAAAATCTATTTTTTTTTTCCTAATAGTATCCAAACATTTAGATCCTTGGACAGTATGAACCTTTGAACTTTTTGAGATTTACCCAAGTTTTCTATTTTATTCTGTCCAGTTAAGCAGAAGCATGAGATTATTTTCATAAAGAGGCAATTGTCTAACCATTACACTTGGAAAACATATTTATACTTCTATGTAAAATAGCCAGAGCTCTTTTAGATTAACAACAATAATAACAGAAAATAAAAAGGTCCCACAGGACTTTTTCATCAGAAAAGCAGTGCTAAAGCCAAACAGAAGGGAAAAATGTTGCATTTAAGTTGAAGCAATGTTGTGCTGATAAGTTCCCGAAAATAGATGTATTTCAATATTGCAAAGCTACAGACTACTGTACCGAGAAGGGAAACACTGCCTTGCTGTTAGAACCCACTCTTCCTTTATCAAAGTACCTCCACAGATATGCTTATTCCTGGGGAAAAAAAATGAAGAAAAAGAAAATAAACAAACAAACAAATAAATAAAAGTAATAGTGTTAGTTTCTACATAGTCAAAAGCTTTAAAGGGTACTTTTGCTCCCCACATATGTTTGCTGGTGAAAGATGGCTGACGGACAGCCTGCAAAAACATGTCTCTGCCCCTTTGCTCTGCAGTTTCAACACTTACAGTAGCATGACTTTTCAGAGTTTTATTCCAATGTGTATAAACCAGGAGGAAAGAGAAATTCAGTTACTCTGTTAATTTAGTAGCTTCAAAGTTAAATGCATAATAAGACACATAATTAAAAAAAAAAAAGGCAAGTTAATTCTTTGTAATAGGAACTGGACTGAAACATTCAAGCAAGTCCCCAAACTGCCACCAGATGTAAACAACATTTGGTCATTATTCATGTAGGTATTATTCAAAGCATTGACCTCAAGGTGGAGAGTTCCTATTTGATTACCAGCCCTATGAGATTTCTGTCCCCACATACTTCAGTTGGAAACAATCTGCAATGTATGACATCCTACATGTGATTATAGAAAACCTACAGCATAATATATCAAGTAAAATTAAAGCAATTAAGCATGACAGTTCTTTCAAAAATAAAGATGACTGTGGAATGGAGATTAATTAGTTTCCTTCTTTGTGCCTCCAAAATCACATTTCTTTTCTGCAGCTTTTTGGAAAGTGAACCAGAATTGTCAGCAATTTGGGAAAAGCTTAAAATCTCACAATTTATAAATTCAAATCACACAAATGTTCAAAGCTTTGCAAAGAACTGCTGGAAGGAGCCCAGACTATATGGAGTTCAAAGACAGCAGAATAACACAGATGCTTGCCTCCTTTTCTATTTTTTTTGATTGTATTTTGGTTGAGGAACAAAATATCTGGTCCAAAAGGCTGGATTCTTCTTAAAATATAGACTCTGCCCAGTTTTATTATAAAAATGTCACAATCAGGAGCACAAATGTGTTCTTGCATGTTATGTTTGCATCACTAACTATCAAAAGGAATTTACAAGATCGCATCATCTGCTTTTGAAGATTGAGCAGTACACATAGGAAAGTGCCACACTATTTGAATGTGGCACAAAGCCAGAGCTGATTCCATGAAATAGATGAAATTCATTCAATATACTTAGAATAGATGAAATTCATTCAAATATAGTTAAATATACCCAATAACAGAATTTGAATCTGTTATATGTTTGAGTATATAAGAAAATGCCAATGATTAATTTAACATTTAGAGGTGGGCCTCGGTTGCCAAATATGAATACCAGTTTCTAAGTATCACTAAGCCTTTACCATTCAGATATGGTAATTCCATTTTGAGGTGTACAGTTAGTTTTTTGCAGAAAGTCCTGAAGTCATTAAGATTTTGTTTCAGAGAAGATTCTATTTGCTTCCTTGGTAACAGTACAAAACAAAACTACATTTTTGTGCCCATATGTAGTACTTAAAAATATATTTTGCTGCTGGAGTATCCCAGGAATCCCAGTTTCATAAAAGAATCTGAAATCATTTAAGCACTCATCTGCTTAATGGAATTTTGTTGCATAGCAGAAAATCCAGGTTCAACTACTTTAACATTAGCTATTTAAATTTCAGGCACCCAGATGTAATTTACCTCACCTGTCTAAAAGTTCCTCAAACATCAAGGCTGCTTTAAAAAATAGTGGAAAGGTAAACCTTTCCAGAGAGTGACTCAGCCCACCTATCTGGTTACTTAGTCTAGGAATAGAGTGGTGTTCCTCTAAAAATATCTTTCTGGACCATCGGTTAGACTTCCAGAAAGGTCTAGTTCTGACTGGAGCTCATGAGATGCAAAGATTAGCAAGGATGGGAAGGACCCCTGGTATTTCTCTAGCAATGAAGCAGAGTAGAAAATAGGCTTTTTATCTTTTCCTTTATGCCAATTTTTCATTTAAGACCTACTTTACAACACGGTTTTAAAAGAGATGATGAATCATAAGCTAATAGAAGTGAGCTGTACTTCAGTCTGTACCAGCAGACAAAAAAGACTTTTTTTTTTTCATGACAGAAGATACAGGGCTGATGCATGAGATATATCTCCTGTTATACATTAACGACTCACACTTCCAGCTGATGAGTTATGAACCAGAGTAATGAACGTAGGAAACGGTAATTCTGTGTTCTGGCTTTTACACAGTAGCAAAGTAAGATCTGCCATAATGTAATACACAATTCCAGCTGGAGATGTTAGGGTCTTGTTTTACAGAATGAAAAGGATTTCCCTATAGCTCCTACTTATTTTTTTAATACAGAATACATTTCAATTGCATGCAGTGATATGAGCAGAAAGCTAAACATGACACTGGTATCAATCCAACACTTCACAACTAAATGCACTGCTGTTAAAATTAAAATACAGATATGAAACTCAATTTTTTTTGTAACAGCCTCTAAAATAAACAGTTTAATGTTGGATGCTAAGCCAATGTTACGAAAAGGTCTACAGTAGCTAATTGAAAGAGCAGAATGATACGAATGCTTTACAAGCTCATGTGTGTAAGTTAGTGATAATGAAAATATTTATATTTCACTGATGGAGTGAATACTATGGAATCACCTGATATTCCAGGAATGCTTATTTTCTGCTTTTACAGAATTTAACTGCAATCTAGAAGCATTCTTATTATGGTCAACATTTTCTACGGTTCCAAAACAAATATCCTAGTGGATATATTGTCTTTCTAATCAAAGTGATAGTTACCTGTATGTCAAACTAACCACCCATCCTTCGTTAGTTTGTGTTGGGATTCCGTTTACAACTCTCAAATGTTTTGTTGAGGCGCAAGGAATGACAGTATCTGAAAGCAGGTCCAGAGATCACATTTTACTAAAAACAGCGGTAGGAAACCTGTACAGTTGCACATAAGGACCACAAGAAGGTCAATATTTATTACGGATTAACTTTCCTGCACTAATGACATATATTTCTAAAGCATCAAAACTACTTCAGTGAAGCTGGGTCAGTCTATATAAATATTCATAGGGAATATAAAATACATATATTTAAATAGGTTTTTCAGAGATTTACATAGTTATAAAGCAAACATTGAAAATCATTACCATATCTCACCACTGGCAAGACAGGACAGTGAGAATAGATAAAGGAGTATAATAAAGCTATTCTACATTTTCCTCCTGTGAAAGCAATTTTTCCCAAGCTGTATGTTGTTTTGTATCTTTAACTGATCTTTCTCTTGTTTCCCAATTGGAAAGAAATGGCCAGTCTTATATGATACAATATATGCACTGCACAGTACATCTGCAAACTTACTTACCATCCAAGCTGGTTGTAGTAGGAGTTGTATCACCTTCACCTAGACAGACACATAAGATAGCCATAATACAAAATTAAAACACATCTGAAAACTGAGTGGAGTAAAAAAAAACCAGAAAATGGCATATTGTTAATTTTAATAGTTCACAAAGTTTTAAACTTCAATGATTTCTTTAATACTTTACAAAAGCACAATTTAGTAAGGATTAACAAGAAGGCAGAATTTCATTCCAATAGAATGAACTAAAATGGAATTTCATTCCAATAGAATGAAATAAGAATTAAACATTTTGCAACAGGAGTTTCAAGCATTTTTCTTCTTGGCTGAATCCCAAATACATCAGGCTATCTATCATGTTCAATTTACATGTTTCATTCGAACAAGCAAATGCTGAAAAATGAAGTTGTGACTTTTCTATAAGCTTTCAGGAACTATAGAAGTCATGTGATTAAATCCAAATCAGATTTAATGAAAATTGCTAATTTCCTTAAAAGCCTTTGAAACTTCAAAAGTCCTTTTATGTTGCTATCAGTAAAAACTTATCCTTATCAAAACGTGTTCCCCAAAATCTGGTTTGGTTCTTCCATCTAGTCCAGGTCAAAATACAGTTACAACAAGGTTGCTTAAACTTGGTTCAAAATTTTTGCCTTCCGTGACCCAGCACTATGAGCTAGAGGTACAGGTGTAGCTATTGAAAATTTGCACAGGCAAAATTTAAGCAGTCTCATCCAACTAGATTTCCATCATTAGGCAAATATATATATATTTAAAAAGGTATACAGTTATATACATAGTTAAATTTCCATGTGTATGTATACACATATGCATATGTGTATGTGTATGCATATGTATATGTGTGTGTGTATGTATATATGTAAATATATATATAGTGCAGTTTGAAAAGACCAGTTAAAGGCACCAAGTAAGTACACTTGGGAACTGCCAGCATTTTGTCTGTACTGGTTAAGCTGGTTATCAGTACCTGAATGAGCTACTGCTAGTTTAATAGTAGTCCATACGAGTTACAATTGTAAAACAGACATATTCCAGCTCTGGAGTTTGAGTCCAGAAATCATAATACTCACCATTGCCATATACCCTACAAATGTTTACTGTGAATATTTCCTTAGGAATTCACCTGAGACTTCAAATATCACCTCTTGGAGACGCTGCAGTTCAGACTATGAGGAAATGCAGCAGATTGCTGCTAGGAATGAATGTAACATTACTCTTAACCTCTAGAGAGTACAGGCATGCATTCAAAAGCCTGATTTAGCATTTAAATGTTCTCCCAGGATATACAGCCCAGTGATTTAGAAATAAGAACTGAAGAGAAAAATTTTAAACATAAATGTGAATTGCACATTTTTCGGCATAAATCTATCTTTTTCCACTTAGCATTAGTTTATTACTGAATTCCCTAGGATTTTTAATTCTGTTTATTTAAGCTATTTAGATTTTAACATGCAACTTTGGAGGAGTGATGTTCCTAATTCTTGCCAGTTGTTAAATCATCCCATAAACATCCGAAAACAGAATCTAATCTATATAGCACATATACACTTCAACTTATATATAGTGAGTTATCCTAACTTTACAAACAAATACAGATCACATAAAGAGACTATGAAGCTTGTAGCACAGAAGATAAATGTCCCTGGGTTTCTTGCGGCCACAGCCAGCATTCTGACCACTAGACAATTCTTTGTCTCCGTCCAGCCCTCATTCAATAGCTAGTTCTGTTGGAAAACGTTTGACCATGTGTAATAGCCCTTTTATGCTCCTGCTGCATAAATAAGCCTTGAAATGTCCAAGCTGGTCAAGGAAAAGGACCCCTTGTTTGTATATTGCACAAGCAGCTTCTGTCCATTCCTTCTCAGTCATGCACAATTGATTTTTGATAGAATTACACATTTTCTGCTGCCACAAGTGACAACAGAAAGGTATGCATACGCATGTGACACCATGGCTTCACTGGGACTGCACAGTTGACAATGCCTGAAGCATACCAAGTACTCACATCGAGAAATAGGGCAGTAATCCCAGGGAACGAGAGGATCATCTGTGTAACACCAGGGACCATGAAAATCATCATCTGGATTGCGGCAATAGTTTTTCTTCAGTTTACTAACATCTGGTTCTCTGAATATTTGTATATGCCTACAGGGAAAAAAAATTCAAAGTGCTGAAAAGCTTTATACTATAGCCCAAATTTTCAAAGGTTAAATGTTGCTTTGCTCCACATTGTAATATTAGCTGATTGAGAAGCCTACAGGTCAGGGTTTAGGGCTGGTTGAAATCAAAGGGAAGACGAGACCCAAATATTTGCTGGATCTGGGTCCAAGTTTCCTCTGGTTGGTATTTTAAGCACTGTGTCCACAGGATAGCTGGGAGGTTTCTAGATCTCCTGCTGGAGCTAAAATCCCTGGATACCCTGAGGAGGCATCTTTACACTGATTAGAAGAGCGTCTGTGTTGCCCTCAGCAAATATGCAGGCCTCTCTGGGAGCACAGGTACATTCTCCCTGCAGATTAACAGCACAAGGGAGCACTGAATCTGCAAAGAAAGCTGAATATCGGGCAAAAGAAAGACAAACGCAAGAAAGTTAACCAGCCTGAGCAGCAGGCAAGGAGAAGGATGAATGGCTCAGACAAACTGCAGTGATAGGTCACCTAAGTTGCAAACCTACCTGAGGCACTTTAAAGGTGAAAGTTTGGGGTGGCAATCTGAAGCAGAGAAAGTTGTTTATTTCTGGCTTGTCAGACAGAAGCATACAGGCTTCCTAAGTTACAGCTGCACCGCCCTTTTAGTTCATAACCAACCATGCATGCTGCTTCTAGCACACCCATAACCAGAGTAACTGCTGAAGTGAGACAGATAACTCCCCAAAGAAGTTCCCAGATGGAAGATTTATGGGAGTAAGAGAAAGGCTGATCTGTGCTCAAGATTATATGAATGCAGCTGCATCAAGCATCCAGTTGGTTCAAGCTGTCTCATTCACAGATAATTAAAGACTTATCAGAGCTCTCAGAAGTCATGAACTTAAACGTCTGCCTCCCTTACATGGACAGGACACTGGAATATGTATGCTGTCTCTGACCCTGTGTAGGGAAAACCACATATAGTCCAGTTGGTGATTCCAGACAGTGCCACTGAAGTCTGCCTTTTGCAGTACAGCTTCCCCAAAGGCTGACTTACTGACTTACATGCCTTCACCTGACTGACCATCAAGTCAGCAGCAGGAATCAGGGACAGCCAAATTCCAGAGGGCAATGGTTGACATGTTAGGCGCTATGACTGTGGTGATCATGAGCACTAACTCAAGAACAAGTACCAAAAGTAATATAGACATAATCACATCGATTTCAGAAACTGAAGGAAAATGAAAGGAAAACTGTTTCCATCTGGGCCACTAATGTGTGTAATATCTCACACGTAGCAAAATTTTTTATGAATCTCTGTCTTTGTGCAGTACCTGGAAGTCATTGTTCTTGTCACTCCTGAGATTTATTAATCTACTGTTCTGAACCAGCAGAGACAACACTGAGGATCCTGGCATGATTGAAAATGTCTTGGAAACTCACAACTTCTTTTGTACTTACTGCTGATTCATTTTTACTTTAAGAAATAAATTAAAGTAACTTGCCATATTCGCTACTTGAATATGAAACCAAAGTAATGATAAACAAGAGAAATTGCAAGTCTCTTTAATGGCATTTGATGTCAGTGTCATTAGATTGTAATGTAACTCAAGATTCAATTTCAGGCTGCAAGGAACCTTAGGTGGTTTCAAGTCCAACCTCCTGCTTGAAGCAGCATGAGCTATGAGATCAGATTGATGAGATAACCATTTCCTGCTTTATTCCTGCTATCCTCTCACAGAACAAAACTTTCAAGGACAAAGATGGGGTAAACCAGGCCAGTAAACTAAACACTAAGAAACATCCCAAAGCCTGCAATTAGTGGTTAGCCTGAACAAAGACATGTTGTGTAATGTATTTAAACACCGAAAGAAAAAAAAAAAAAGGGAAGAAAAAAAAGATACTAAAGCTCCAGGGCATAAGGGGATATTTTAAAATCACTGCAGAAGAAAAAGAGATGCCATCTGGAGGCAGTATTTATTCAGAACTCACTGAACCATTTCTTTCTGTTTCGTATGTACACACCTACGTAAGTCTTCAATATTCTTGTCCCATGTGGCGCAATTTAGCCCAAATCTTGTCTTGGATAGATTCCCCATGTAACTCTTGCCATTGCCACGATAACAATCTGAATAAGAATGTTGAGACAAAAAGAAGTGGAGGGTGATTGTGCAACATTGAAAAGAAAACTCTTCCTTTCCATCAGTATTCCAAGTAATTAAAGACAAGTGTTATATTTAGCAAACACTATACAATATAAATCAGACAACTGTATAAATCAAATCAGAAAGAAAATGGGAGAAAGTTTTCAAATTTAGATACATAATTTCCTGCTTGAGGCCTTCATTCTCAACACCGTAACATTTTAAATTTTATCTTACTTCGATAAACTGGGAAAATTTCTTTCATATAGTTTATGGTTAATTTAGAAGAGTCACACAGAATATTCTAAAAGTTGACAGGAACTGTTTTATATGAAACAAAGCAAAAATGCCCCCTTAATCCTCCCTCCTCAAAAAACAGGCACTCTTAGCCTGTTTGAAACAACTTACCTTTGTGTAGATTCTGGATACTGGCAACAGTATATAATTCTAGACTTAAGTTCTACTTTGGCAAAATCAAAAAATCAACATCACTTTAATTTTAATGTAATTCAAAAACTTGCCTCTTCACTCTAACAGAAGTCATGTTTAATTCATAACCATTTATCACAAGCTTTTTTGAGACTTTTCAAGAGGATTGTTTAAAATGATAACTACTATAAAGACTTTTTGTATAAAGCATTTCATTTCATATTCAACAGTATTTTTTGGCAAAATCAAAAAATCAACATCACTTTAATTTTAATGTAATTCAAAAACTTGCCTCTTCACTCTAACAGAAGTCATGTTTAATTCATAACCATTTATCACAAGCTTTTTTGAGACTTTTCAAGAGGATTGTTTAAAATGATAACTACTATAAAGACTTTTTGTATAAAGCATTTCATTTCATATTCAACAGTATTTTTGATAATTGATACTTTACAAAAAACACAGAGTGAAAGTCAAAGTTTAATCCTTTCTCTGACAGAACTCTTGCAACTGCAACTCTTTCAAATTTTAAGAGAAAAAATGGCTAAAATTTAAAGATGGAGATCTTAATGCAGCCTGATGTAGGGTCATAGGTCTGAGGTCTTGGCCTCAGTTTATGCTATGATTCACATCAGTTCTCAGGATGCAGTAATACTCCTTAGAGTAATACCAAGACCTCATGGGAAAACCAACATTTGCCTGAAGACTCAGAGTGGACTTTACAGACAGAGGTAACAGCTTGAAGCTAAGAGGCTATATGGGAAGTCCCATGTGTTTTTTTCAGCTCAACTCCTTTTAGACAAAGGGTATATGGAAAAAATAAATTTTAAAAAAATCACTTTTGGTGGCCTCATATGCAATTATAAAAAGACTGTGAACCAAGGAAATCATCTCAGCTCTGGAAAAAGCCTTTCAAACTAAGAAAGGTAAGATAGTGGAGGAGATCTCCAGCTAATATAAAATGGCACGCAGATTCACCTTGTCTAAAAATCAGATCCAATAGCAATTCTTTGCTGCAGCTTTCCTTGCTGGAATTGAAACATGAACTGAGAAATGAATGTCATTTACACCATGATGAATCCCAAGTATGCAAATAAAGCCAAAGCGGAACTACACAGGTGTAATACAGATGTACTGAGATCAACTTCTCCACTTTTCAGGCCTGCCTATCTGTCATTTGGAACAGTACAGCATTCACTTAAAATCACGTTATCACCCTTCTCTCTGTTACCTTGTTCATTTGATACATCACACTTAGGAATCTGGGAGCAATAACCAATACGGATGTTTGGGTCAGTGGTAAAACACCAGGGTGATTCAGATCCATCTGGGTTTCGGCAGTAGTTCTCCCTCAAATCCCTATAAAAATAAATATGTTAGCTCACAGTAGGGATAACCTAAAACCGCTGATGCATTCTATTGCTTTTTATTATGAATTAGCAATAATATAGGCTCCTTAAGGTCTGTATGTTACTGATCAGTGTCAAGTGCAAGGAGATGAGGAGCCAGTAAGAACAGTGTCTAGAAAAATATAGTAATTGTAATAAGAATATGGTTATGGGAATTCATTTTCAATGGACCTATGTTTTGACGAGATATAAGATTTCATTTGAAGATTAACAATATTTTCAAGATAGCTTATTTTTATTCAGGATTCTCCATCAAAATTTGCATGCAAGATGACATTGGATACACCTGCAATCCATTACAAGGGTTTTTAAATACAAATATTACCAAAGTGCTTAAAATTCCCTGTACTTTGAATGGTTCTGCTGAGTTTAGAGAAACAGAGTCTTGAAGACTGTCAGTGATTCATTTAAGAAACTGAATTTTGGAATATAAAAATATGTATGTGGAAATTCTATACAGCTGTTACCTTTAAAGTAAAAGTTAGTCACAAGGGAACATCTCTAAATGTCTCTCACAGCTTGCATGAAATAGTCAAACCTCTTAAATGTAAGTTTTATTTTCCCATCTCCTGACAGTTGTTGCCATGTTCTGTGCATCTCCATATTTCACTCTATTTCTCCACCTGCAGCACTTACTGATAATAGACTATGGAAAGAATGGTCCTAATACTGTAATTCTTACTCATGTGAGTTTTGAACAGTCATACCAGTGGTTCTGTTGATTTTACTCAAGCTATTGGCCTGAACAGCCACTACACTCTCAAGCATCGGCTGAATAAGCAGTCCTAATATTGTTAGCCCCTCTATACTGCTAGGAACATTGTTAAAACCGCACGAGGGCCTAATCCTGCAGCAGCGTTCCATAGGTACAGCGCAAATTGGTTTAAGTGGTGGTTTGTCTGAGAAAAACCTGTGGGATCAGGCTCAAGCACTTACTTCCAGGTAAATTCAAGATGGTCCTAAGATTGACAGAGGAGGCTCAGGATGGGTCCTATTTTCCATTACAATGATAATTGTTACATTTTCAGTAGATGTGTTACAATGCACAGTATTTGATCAATAAACTGAACAATAGCAGTGAAGGGATTAAGACAACTTAACTGTTGTGCTCAAACAAGCTGTTGTTAGAGAGAGAATCCAAACTCAGACTGGAATCTTTTCTTTACCTTGAAAGATCCACGCTATTAAATTCCAGCACAAGCCCAGACTGATATTTAGCCATCAGTAAAGACATTTAGTACAAACTGGGCTTTGGGTCCATGCTGGTCAGCTAGGTTTCCTTTACACTTAGTGAAAAAAAGGACTGAAAGAGCATGATTAAGGTAACTGCCTAAAAAAAGTAGATTATTCACGTCCTGGGAGTTTATGAACTGTACAGAAAGGTTAGATGACCGGTGGTCCTTCAGGTAAATGCAGTCCTATTCATGCAAGTACATTTAGTAATGAGACAGGAAAAGGATTAAAAAGATGGAAAATAAAAGAAGTGTTGTCAAATATTATAAATGTCAAGTATTGCCAAGGAGATTACACTTAGGTAATATTTAGGACATATTAAGTTAAAGTCAGTAACCAAACTGTGAACAAATACTTACCTCCATGAAAGAAAAACAGTAATAATGTACCAGCACTATTGGGATTCAGGTCCCAGTCTGGAAAACATCCATACACTTCACAATCAATTAAATTGGTGAACACATGCTTGAAGAAAAAGTTCATAAAAACCCTGTCAGTTTCACACAAGTTCATCTAGAACTAATATTTTGAGATCTGAAGAACTGATTTTCCCATGTTCAAATGTTTTTCAGCATCAGCAAGTAGAGTGAACACATCAGGTCGCAGAGCAGGGACAGGGATCCTATGGTCTGCTTTGGTGGCATGAATTTCTAAACATTTGAAAACTAAGCTCTTTTCCCACTGCAGTAATACCCACATGTCTCTACTCACTTGCACTTGAAGTTCTCGGGAGTGATGTTGTGCTGGTGAGGAAACTGGGAGTCCCACCGCTGGCACTGGATTCCACTCCATATGGTGTTGACCGTGCCACGGTAACCCTCACCCTGTCCCTGAATGCATGTTGATGTCTCAGCTGCTGCCTCCGTGCTGTTCACAATGTTTTCATCTGCAGACCCAAAGAAGAAGTGCTGTTTCATTTTCTTAAGACTAAGCCTGGCTCAGGATATCAGGTTTGAACTCTACATTGTAGTTCAAATCATGGTAATTGGAGTTCTTTGGTAAAATTGCCAATCTGATGTCTTTTACAGAATAATTTTCTCCTCTTCATATTCACAACATCCATGAAATCAAAATAGGTGTTAGACCTTACGCTAGTTTATCCACTTGCAGGCAAAGAATCTGCAACATTTAAGAGCTTTTGTTTAGCGAGACACCTGGCCTATGCTATATCATTGAAGGTCAGGAGATATTCTTGCTTACTCTTTCCAGTTCAGCAAATATTTTCTCATTTGCTTAGCTTTACAAAACTGAGTGACCACCCATGTGTAAGCTTTAAACATGTTAATACATGTTTGCAGGATTAAAACCCAATTGGTTTTCTCCAAAGAATCCCCAGAATATCAAGTCACAGGAAAAACGATGCAGATTTAAAAAAAAAAAAAAAAAAAAGGATAAATCCTATTATAAAGTAATGTGCTAAATCCTCCTTGAAGCTTCTCTTTTTATGCCTCATATAGTTAGAGAAAAAAAAAAAAAAGAAAAGCCCAGCTTTTGGAAATCAAAGATCAGTATTCTCTACAGAGAAACAAATGTTTTAAAAACTAACAAATTCATCAGACTCAAGATCTTTTACAGATGTTGATATACTCTGCATTCACCCTGGTGTGGGCTGTCTTGATCTAAATTCAGAAAAACAGTGGTTTTTGAAATGACTCATTCACATAACTTTAAAGTCTCTTTGTATTTCTTATGCAATTTTCATAATTGCAAATTAATGGCACAGATATTGCATCAGATATATACAAAGTAGTACAAAACTAACTACACTACAGTAAAAGCAATGCTTCTACAATGTCCCAAAAAGCTCCCAACATAATATTTTTGTAAGTAACTGCCCATCTGTTGATAATTGCTATTGTTCACAAGACTAATTTTATTAATTACCTTAAAAGTATTAGTTGCCAGCAATAAGTATGTTAATAAAGTTTTAAAATTAGTTTTCTTCAAATAGTCCAGTGATTAGAACAATATTTGTGTGTTACTCATAATATAGTTCATTCCTGGTAACTTGAGCCAGTTCTATAAACTTGCAGAGAATATGGATCTTAAGGAAACCAAATGTCATAACAGATGGGTTTGGCTGATTTGCTGTCTAATCTTCTACGTTAAAGAGCACTTCCCTGTCAGATGATAACATCAAGTCGTGCAGTTGAATTGTACATTTCTCCATGCTGGAGAGAATTCCCCTTTTTCTCTTCATCTGGTTGATGTTTTTACATCAATGTTTCACGGTCAAATTAATTTCCTGTCCTTCCTTCCCAAGGCATTTTGTCTGCAAAGTTTGTCCTGTTTCAGTGGGATTGTGAGTTCCAAGCTCATTCCAAAGTCAAAAGGACATGGCACTGCAAGTACCACAAGCAGCCTCCTGCAGGCTGACAAATGGATTTTAGTGGATGTATAAGAAGTGGATTCATCAAACAGGTTTGCAGCTAGTAACTATATTTTTAATCTTTATTACTCACTTTTTAAACAATTGGACAACAAAAAGACAAATTCATACATCTAATAGAAATACATAGCTGCGTATTTCAGTTTTCCATCATAACTAATATATGAATTATATTAGAATTATATATATTGGAATTATATTCTAAAATAGCTCCTAAGCTGATTAGACTGAACATTGCTGTGACACATTCAAATACATATTAGTCTTTTAAAAAAAATATATGTAATGCTCTTGTTAAAAATGAAAGAGATGTGGTGTATAATTTGGAAAAAAAATAAAGTAACCTACTATGATAAATTTCAGCATACATATGGCATCCTGGCTGCATAATATTTCCTAAGTAAATTGATAAATTACAACTATATAACTCTAGCAAAAAGTCTTCTTAAGTAATAGTAATAATGCATAAAAATTCAACCTAATACAAGCTATTACAAAGACCTTATTTATACACAAGGAGTGACTGTTTCAACTGTAATGAACTGTATTGTACATCTACTCTGTACTCAGTCATGCTAGGGAAAAAGTAATTAGGTTGGTGTTTATGTATCATTGTGTGGGCTGGTTTTTTAAAATCACATGCCTGAAATGAAACAACTAATGCATCAATTGATTTAAGCAGGGCCATAGAGTCATTTTGTAGAGCATTCCTTCTTATACATCTTATACATCTACAGATGTATACATCTGTGTACATCTATATACATCTACAGCTCATCACTAAACCTTACACTGTGTGTCTGGACAGTGACCTCTATCTGTAGATCAGATTTTACAACAATTTGTCCGTGTCAAAATATCCTATTTAAAGGAACCAGACAAACTTACCTTTCACATTATAATGAATACTTGCACAGCCAAGCCACTACTGGAAAGACTTACATTATAATGGCTAAGAGAGAAATTATTTCAAAATCTGCAACGTGTGATGGATTATCTGCTACTACTACTTTGTGACAGCTCTTAATAAGAATTCTAGTGATGAAGAGGATCACTAAAATATTTTTATATGAATTAATAAAGCAATTCTATCATTCCAAAAGGTCCACAGAACTCTCACCAAACTCTTCTTGCTATACCACCTGCATTTCCTACAAATGTCTAATTTTCAAACATGAAAAATGAGACATCAAAATATTTCTGAAATTTAATTCTGAAATTCTGAGGGCTTGTGCCCTCAGAAACAAACTCTCCCATTCTGGCTCTTGAGTCTCACAGAAAGCTCAAAAATTATCAAAAAAGGCTCAAGAAATCCTTCATTCAGCTGGTGATTTCCACAAACAGGCATGATGGGAACAGTCTCCCTGTCCACATTAATGAAAGGTGGGCTGGATGCGCACAAGGACATGCAAAAGCTTGAAGAGCGGTGCCTGCCTCACCACGCATTACAGACATGCTCTGCAGACTATAAGGCAGTTGCCAAACTTTAAGAAATGCCCAGGTTGTCCAAGCCTACAACTTAAATAGTCATCTCCATTCAGTACTGGTCTTGTTCCTGAGGCTAATTAATCTTGTCACCCGCATAGTCAATTATCTAAAGTTTAATAACGCTGAGCATGAACATTAGATGTGCAGAGCACTGGTGAAAGAGTCCTGAGACCACACTCACCAGTTCTCTTACAAGGTGGAAACAAGATCAAGCTAAAAACCAGTAAGGCTGAATTCCCATCCTTATCCTAGCAATTCGTCTAAAATATAAATTAAGACCTGCAACTCCAAGGGTTTGTTCCAATGAGAGAGACATTATGTTAGAAGATTAGTTTAAAATCAGTAAGTGAGAGTAATCCTTACTATGCAGGCAGGTACTTTAATTTCATATTAGAAGTACCTTTTTTTTTTTTTTTTTTTTGTTCCAGTTCAGCTTTTATAGTTCCGAACTGAGATAAAAAGTACTGTTAAAGGAAGATCACCTGTTAGTAGCATTTCCACCTTCACATGTTCACTCTGAAGTCCTCAACCAAACTGCAATAATGCAGGTTTCCTTTTTTCCATAAACCCCTCCCTATTTTGATACTTCAAAATATATAACTTTATTAGTAAGGTCCAGCTCATGCATTCATAGATGCATAAGTAAAGAGACGAAACATTATCCAGAGCTTCATGTGTAAAGCCACAGATAATCTCAGTTCTGGTTCTCACAGTAATGCCAGCATGAGGGAATCAGCAGGGGCCTTGAGTCATTCTACAGCTGAAGTAACCAGTTAGAATACTATTTCTGTCTTTAATCCCAATGACCCAGAAGAAAATCCTGTACAAATTTTAGGTCAATGGTGAAACTCCTACTGACTTAAAAGAAGGTAGGGATTTTGCTGGAGTACACATGTTCTTCCATGGTAATACTATCTATGTATTTTTGGAAAAGGACATAGTTGGAAAAGAAGCAGAGTTCTAAATTACCTCATCAGGAAAATTCCTACTTTTGCTTATACTGTTGCAATGTCTTTCCTAGTGTGTTAGTCAACAAAAGGAAAATGTGCCCTGATTTGTAACAATGATTTTAAAAAGTAGATTTTAAAAGATAAGAGGTGCCTAGCCCAGTAAAGAAAGTGTTCTAAACACAGCAAAGTCCTCATTAAACACGATCCATGCAATTCTGCAAATGTCAGTAAGAAACTTGAGTGACGTTATGGGGAGAAGCTGCTCATGCTCTGTTACACTGCCTCCAGGCATCCCTACCTCCAGCAATATGATCTACAGTTCTGGGCAGTATGATAGTGACAGTTCTTTTCTTTCCACGTGTTTTCTTCAACGTACTATCTCACATGAAACATGGAAAAAAAAACCCACTGTTTTCTAGTGTTTGGGGTTTTTTTCAGTAAAAACATATGAGAAAGTGAAGAAACAAATTAGACCTCAAGAATCACAGTACTGAAGAACTCATTGTCACCTAAAACCTGCACACTTACAGTTCGTTTGTCCTTGAGCACAGACAGATCTTTCCGGGTTGTTCCAATATCTACAACTAGGCTTTAAATCCAAACAATTTTTAGTTTAAATCCATTAAAAAAAAAATCTGGATCTCTGCAGGTTCAGAGTTCTTAAATCTCACTTTCAAAACTATATTAGAAATGATGAAAAGGTTCTGAGAAGGATCCTCTTTGAAGAAATGTAGATTAAGCCATTGCATACACAATGAATGCTGGACCTCTGCTATGCCTTCGTGTGAAGCGAGGTAGAAGGTAATGCTTTATCAACTACTAAACAGCAGTCTCTTTTCACTGCCTCTTTTCTATAAACATCTTTACCTTACATAAATATTAAGCTTAAACTGACTGGCTGTCGTGGTTTAACCTCAGTCGGCAACTGAGCACCACACAGCCGCTCGCTCACTCCACCCCCCCAATGGATCGGGGAGAGAATTGGAAGAGCACAAGTGAGAAAAACTTGTGGGTTGAGATAAAAACAGTTTAATAATTGAAATAAAATTA